AATAATTTATATACTGCCTAAATATCTTTGGTGACTTAGCAGAGGAACTCAAACTTTTTATAGCATGGACTACATCTTTCTATAATAATAGTTATTGTAATCATAATGCCTCCTCTGTGTGACCACTGATTTCTACAGTAATGAGTTGTTCTCTGCAAGAGAACCAGTAGGAAGGGGTTGGGTAAGGTGGCAGCAGAAGGGTAATCAGCTTTCTGTAAGCCTGTTTGAAAATGTTTTTTTCTGCCAGGGGAGGAAATGAGAGGCTGTCCCTTTGCAGATAACAAGCCAAGGAAGTTTGGGAAGAGCAACACACATACTGTGGATGCCATCAGAAGTTTTAAAAGGCAGTGGAGCAGATCAACCCCATTATTGTTACCGGTAATAGGTAATTATTTTGTAGGTTTGAAAAACCTGGGACATGATGATATACTTTATATTTACAACTCTTTATGTACATATAGACAAGTGTTTTATAACCATAAGGTGTTCAGCTTCTCCAGGTTCATAATCTGAGGAGCTGTATACACCCATCTCACTCGTGGATGAGCACGGTGCACTGCTCAACACAGCACTTGATGGCAGAGGAAATGTGTGAACTGTAAGCACCTGCAACTCTTTTGGTTTTTGTTAGAGCTCCTTGGCACAATATGGACAGTTCTTCCCCATTTTACTTTACTGTGGGCTCTACGGATTTTTTTTCCTTTTCAGTACTGATTCATTTGTCTCCCCAGGAGATTTCAAGACCATATTGTCCTGCTAAGAGTTAGCCCAGCCCAACATGTCTTTCCCTCACTCTAAAAAAAAAAAGAGTACTATTATAAAAAAGAAAAAAAAACTCTTACCTTTGCCATGTATTCAAGAAAGATGAGTTACAAGGGTATTCTGGAAGCAAACTCTTGAGCAGAACACAGTGCTCTTCACCCACGTGCCAATGCCACGGCTCTATCTGCATCCTTTCCCTGGGAGATGCAATGGAAGACAGGCTTTTTGTGTGCCCCTGACTAAAGATGTGCTGGGCTGCAGCCAAAGCGACCCTGTGTGAGCCAGTCCCACGGGCTCGCTCTGACATGGGCACTGCTCGGGTTAATTGAGTCTCACTGGGCCCCCTCAGAGTCCCAGCTACCCCACGCTGGCAATCTCAACTGCACCTGCAGAAAGGGTGCCTCTGTGTTACTTATGACCCACCTTTGCATCCTGTAGGAATCTGAACTGAAAAAGAAATTATTGAAGCCCAGTGTGAGGCTCATTATGTTAGAAAAAATGGCAAACAGATAGTCAGTCTTAAATGATGTAAAAATCCAAGTATTGCAGTCTATGAGTTCTGTGTCAGAATAATCCAGCTAACACCTGACACAATTTTGGAGAAGAATGTTTGTCCAGAGCAACTAATTTATTTGAATTTATTGTTGAGTGCACTGATTGCAATTAAAGGATTGCCTTATGCTGAAAATTCCTGGCTGATGTCCTAAAGCATAGCATGTGTCTAAGCTTTTATTGGACAGACACATTGGATTTATGTTCCTAGGAAACTTTTGTTTAAAAAAAAATTAAGTTACATCACCCAATTCTCTTTCACCTCATGGCTTCTCAGTAATTTCAGTGTGGAAACACCTCATGAGTAAAGCCTACTAAACCTTCTGCTGGGATTTGTTCAATGTTACCATTAGCATTATGAACAAGATCCTCTCTTTTTCCCAGGTTCGGCATAAGGACTGGATACAATTAAGGCATGAGATTCATCTGCCTGAGCACAGATGCCTGGATATGAGCTATCACTGAATGCACAGAAACAGGTGCTTCTTTAGCACAATTTGTCTAACCCAGAAGTAAACCATTCTATTTCTAGGTAGATAAATAATAGATACAATTTTCAGATGACTCACATCTTACATGAGCCCGCTTCACTGACTGAAAGGGAGCCTCAGGTGACCAGCTCAGATGTGGACCTCCAAAACGAGGTCAGAAGAATTCCTTCCAGCGGCTCTCAGGGCTCTGACTGACCAGAGGGGGTAGGAAGGCTGACTGACACGGTTCCCAGGCCAGAGGAGCACCCCACTTGGCTGCAGGTGGATCTCCAGGCTGGTTGTCAGCCAGCTTTGGCAGCACTGGGATTGGCACACCATGGCAAGGGGTGGGATGCCCTGGTGCTGCTCAGCAGGCAAGGCCCTCACTTGAGCTGTCCTGGAGGCTCCAGGCATACACGAGTATCACTGCCTGCTCAGAGTGCCAACAGATGATTCTATTCTGGATCAATTAAATCAGAGCTGGGAGAAGAATCGACACATGAATGTTACTTATAAAAACTTACAGTTATGTCTTTACTATGCCCACATTGTAATGCCATTTTGTTTTGGTTGCTTGCATATCACACACACTTTATTTTGTGAACTTTCAATGACTACTTTTAGTCATGAAGCACTCAGTAACGTGGGCCAGATTCTCAGAAACAGCCTATTAAATTTGCTTCAATTTGTCATATTTAAACTCCAGCTGCATCCTGCAATATGCAGGATAATTAGAGCTAATTTTCACCTGAAGAAAGTATCCACTGTAACAAAGAAAGTTACTCTAATTTCACATATACATTTGTGGCCTGCACAGAATTAAGCTCACATTTGAAAAATAACACCTGTTAGTTTTTTTGTTTAAATTAGAAAATAGGAAAGGAACCCCAAAGCAAGAGTAGACTTGCAATCAGCACAAGAGCAAATAAAATATTTCCAAAATGAGGAAAATGTAAATTTGATCAAGATAACTATTATAAAAGTGTCACACTGCACCACAAAACCAACAGAAAAACAAACTGTATAAACCCACAAAATCCTGGATTTACAATGTTATTAATAAATGTCCTCACTCAGAGAATCTCTTGTTCTTTCCTTTCTGGTTACCCAAACTCTGGTTTATATAAAAAATATATCTGATTATTAAATGTTTTAATACTGTTATTTTTTTCTATTGAAAATATATTTTCAGTAGTGTGATACATTTAGAAATATATTTTCATGAAATATATCCAGGTTGTGTGGATGTAACAATGTCATTCTGCCAATCCTCCCTTCCAGGAATGAAAAACCTTGCAAAAGACAATGTAAAAGTGCACAGACATGGTTTGGATCAGTTGTGGATGGTTCTGAAACCCCATTACCAGAGAGCAGCCCTGTGTCTCCTCAGTAAGGTATTTAACTGTGGGAGAGGCTTCTTCCTCTGTGTCCCATTGCTGGCCCATGGAAGCAATGACAAGCAAAACAGATAATTAAGTGATAAAGGAAAATTAGCTTTCAGATTACTCTGGGCTTCGGATAAATATGATTTTCTTTCCATAAGAGAGAGGACCTTCACCAAAAAAATTATTCAGATGTGGAAGTGGGGTGGAATTTTTCAAGTGACAGTCACAGAAGAGAACAGATTTTTTTTTTTCCCTCCCACTACAGACCTGTGTTCCTGCAAACACTCGTGCTTGTGCAGTCCTCCTGAGTCCGGGGGGACTGCCCATGCTGGTAAAATTACCTTTGCAGCTAGAACAGGACTGGAGCTGCTCTGCTTTAAACAAGCTCATCCAAATGGCATTGGAGAAAATCCTGGTGAATCTTGATCTTTATGAAACTTGTTCCTCAGTTAAATCTGCCTCTTTTTTTAATGAAAGAAAGGAAAGTTTACTTAGTGTGCTATCTCTATCTCTTGTAAATTATGCAGTTATTCCAACATAAATGACAACAGTGAACCAGGCCTAGCGTGTCTTACTCTCTGATCTGGTTGGAAGCATTCTCTTTTCTGAGTTACTTTCTGGTTTTTGTTCTTTGCCACTGGTACACAATGGCAGCCTTTTCCAAGAGTTAGGAAATACATTTACAAGCTGCAAACGAAGCAGTAAATATCGTTATGATTACATAAAGTAGTTAGCTCATTTTGATATACACACATATTATACTGATTACCCAAGATGCACGTTTCAACAGAGGAGTTGTAAGGCTCGAGTATACTGGAATGCCACAGAACTCAAAAATATCCTCCAAAGCACGTATAAATCAACAACAGCACCTGCAGCCAGGTTACATGTGACATGCAGAGAGGATCTGTGTGTGGTTTCACGGCACACACACATGCGGTGTTCCCCGTTCCCAGCAGTGCACATCCCATGCAGGAATTTGGAAGGGTAGCCCAGCACGTCCGTGGGAGTTGTCTGAATAAAACATGAAAGCTGGAAGTCTTAAGAGAGGTACAAATATCATGTTAGGCCTTTGCAGACGTTTTCTTGCATGTAAATATGGCTATTGAAGGGTTCTAAAGGTAATTATCATGGATGTCCTTTAGATATCTGTGCTAAATGAAGATCCAGCCTGGAGTGACCAGAGCTCCGTGTCAGCACAATCTGCTCTCTCACTTCTAAAAGCAGCCAGAAGCAGAGTCAAGGCAACGTTCCTACACTGCTGTCCTGCATCTCCTTTCCTGCCCAGGAACAAGATCACTGAATAACCACATCACCCCACTGGTGGCTGGCCCTCTAAGGTCTGCTGCTGCTGGTGGCAATTGTGCCAAGCCCGAGCAGCAGAGACCTGCCTTTCTGGAACAGAAAGCTTTCTGAAGTCGATGTGGCCACAATACAACTGACAGCCGTGTTTTACCTGTGGTCATGGAAACGTCACAATCAGTTTTCCGGTGAATATTTGCCATGTAGTGGGAGCAAACACTGAGTATTACATTAAAAAAACCCCAAACAACAAAGGATGGTGAGGAATCCCAGGGATGAACAAGGTTTCCAACCTAATCTAAATTTAAAGCATAAAAAGTGTCGAGTGCTGAAGTAATTAAAAATCAAGGACCTTCCTTAAGATTCCAAACAGATTACTCTCATCATCCTTCCAATTATTCACACAATGAAAACTCACTACATAAAATCATCAGTCCTTTCTGCAAACAACAGTAATATTTTGAGGCACCATCTTACCAGCTTTCAAACTATTATAAAGTAATATAATGATAGGACCCATACATTTGGATTTAATTAAGAGATAAAATAAATATTTATGTTAAACTTCTTTTTGATTGCACATTTGGTATTGGAAGTTACATGGTCACAGAACATGAAAGAAGTCAAATACTTTTTTGATCTACCAGCAAACTCTAAATACATCGATAAAGATGCCACACCAGGCCAAATAGATTATTACTTTCAAGTGAGTTCATGAAAGTTTCCCAAATACTGTTATACAAAGTTACACATCCATGCTGAGTTACTCATCAATGTGTAGCAAGAGTCCTGCAGTAGGCCAGGGTTTTCTTGGCTGATAACTGGTGGAGGAGCTGTGCGGTGTGATTAAAAACTCCGGTTTGGAAGCATTACCATCGAAGTACTCATGTAGTCTGAACAGGAGGCTGCAGTCCTCGGAGTTGGGAAGAGCAGAAGGAAAGAATGAGAATATTTTTCCCTTTTAGAAATGCTGAGGCACAAAACACAGTTGGTTCTAGTACTTTCATACATGGAATCCTTTCTCCTGTATGTGCATCATGTGTAACCGCAAAGTCTGTAAACTGCTGACTATTCGTCTCTGGTGTCCAATGAGTGCAACTCCAATTCTTCTAAGGTCACTGCAAGACAGAAAGTTTAATCTGGGATGCAAGTATTAGTAAAGCCTGTTGTACACAAAAGAATACAAATATATGATGAGCTGCTCTTTTTTTACCTTCCTGACTGGGTCATATAAGAAAGCTGCAAATGTTCAAGTTTTCTGCACCTGCCAATTTCAGTTTTTCAAAGACAGTCATTGAAGAGAAAGGATCTAATAAAAAAAGTGCAGTTAAAACACTGGAGCTTTTGTGATAGTAATCACCGAGGAATTTTTCAAGCCTCGAGGAATAACCTGGGAGGTGGGCTCTAACAGCCCACTTTTGGTAATGTTGTAGTAGCAAATGTTTCCTATTCATATTTGCAAAACATTGGTGCTGATACATTCACTACTGCAGTCCTGAGACAGAAACAACAGACAGAGCCTGTGCTTCTGTTGATTTGGGCAATGGTAGTGAAAGACAGTTTAAAGTCAAACCAGCAGTGAATCTTCCAGCCTGACCCAGATTTGCCTTCATCTCACCCAGACCTGTGCCCCAGAGCGGGGAGCTCACCCCCAGAGCTCGACCCTTTGGCAGGAATGAAGTCAAGAGCCCTCAGAGTTCACCACGATTCACTAGTTTAGTTGCTCTGTAAACATCCCCAACTGCAGGATGCTGAGGGAAGAGCACAGAGGTGATGAGGGCAGGAAAGCTCAGACACGCCTTGTCAATTGTGCGAATCCCACACTGGGACGTGCACGGACAGTGCCTGTTCAGATATCCTAAATGTCTGAGGATACAGCTGCTAAAGGAGCTCATGGGGCGAGGCGTGACCTTTCTGAGCTGCAGATTTTCAGTTCAAAATACCTGCCTCTGTATCCTCCAGATGAAGAACCAGTGGATAACTGGAACTATTATGTATTTTAGGCTTAACAACCACGTGGGGGATGATTCACAACACTTCAGGTCAGCAGGGGCTGTGCAAAAATACTGAGAATCTGAGAAGCTAAAAGCAGTCAGCTAAAAGAATAAAGCTTTGCAGTAGAGAGTAGTATTAGACATGCAAGAGCAATGCTTAGCACTTAGCAAGGAAGGCCTGATAAAGCACGTAAAGAAGCCAGCAGGTAATGGAGGTTATTTGAAGAAAGAAGGGATCTTTCAAAAAATTTAAGTAGTAATCTAAAAAAAGAAAGTAGAAAGGATGATAACCTTAGATTAGCTGTGAAAGCACAGTAAGGCAGGCTAAAAGAGAACTTCAGGAACAAACAGAAAAAAACCCCAACAAATGAAGTAACAACAAAAATAAAAATCATAATAAGTATTTTTGCAGACTCACTGGGTACCAGAAAACTGACAGATAGTTTGTAGAGTCTAATGATGACCTGGGTACAAAAGAGCTCTGAAAGACTGGCCACTGTTAGAAGAATAAACCATTTATTTGTGTTGGCATTCACTGCAGAAGAAACTGAAGTGACTCCTGGGCCAGATCCTTTCTGGGGGACTTGCCGCAGTATCTGTCTGAAGTTGAGGAGAGGTTACAGGACAAACTGAAAAACAAGCAGCAACCCGCCTCCAGAACGAGACTATGTTTAGCCAGGAGTCCTAAAAGCTGGAATAGTGGAACAAGAATGAAATAGTGGAATCACTAACAGGGATGTGAGAGTGGGAGTTTATCAGCTATGTTCAACATGCTCAAAAGTTTCTTGGTGCCTGAGGCAGGGAGTGTGGGGCCAGACAAAATGTTTCCAGGGAAGATGTGTGGAGCCACAACCTGCGGGTCTGCAATCATTACAGGGCATAACAGAAACTCCAGGAAAGCCCAGAGTGATTGGATGCTTGGATAAATGATCTGCTTGACTTACCACAGCATTTGCAAAGTTCTGTTTTAGGAAATTACTTGTTTCCAGTGGAGCATATGTATGGAGGAAAGTGATCCATTTGATTCACCTCACTTGACTTTCCAAAAGCTTTAGAGAAGATTCCTCATAAAAGCTTTATAATGAAAATAAGGGGTAACTCCTACGTAACACAAGGTGTAACAAAACAGGAGCATAAGGTGGTCTTTGTGGCACTAAAGTACAGGTTTATAGGCAGGAGGTTACGAGTAAATTGTCAGGTGTTACAATGTTGTTATTGATAGAAATCTGCAAGCACCTACGCTGGGATGATATTGAACATTATTGTTTGACAAATCAGTAAATGGTCTGGAAAAACAAGTGAGTACAGAGGTGGAAAAGTCATCTGGTGAGATTGGATTGTTCAGGGAAGGAAGGGAAAGGGCTGCCTGTGAAGAGTTTTAGAAGGATCTTGTAAGACAATGACTATGCCATAAAGCAGCAGATGGAATTCACTGTGGGTGAATGTGAAGTGACACACACAGGAGGAATCCAGTTCTTACCTCACATGCACAACTGGTGAATCTTAACTGACCCCATTACAGTGTCTCACCATCAAATAAAAGATTGGGAATGAATGGGAAGGGAACAGAAAGTCAAATAGATCCTATCATCATGCTGCCATATTAATCCATAATTTACCCAAACACTTACACAGTGGGTGCAGGGTTTTCAGTCAAGAAACAATTGGGTGGTACCAGAGATGGTTGAGAAAGGGCCTCAAGGTGTGGAACAACTTCCTCATGAGGACTGATGTGGACTTGATGATATTCATAGCAAAGGAAAAATGGTTTTTGCCACTGACTTCAGCGGTCTAGATCAAAACTGGTTCCCCAAGAAACGCACTCACTGCCTGGCACGTGGTTGTGTTTGGTGTTGCCACAGAATGAAATTATTAGTTCTGGGTCTCTTCATCATATATTTACCTTGTGTTCTTTTGGTAAAAATCCGTATTTGTCTTTTGTTAGCTGAGGTAGGAAATGAAATGAAAGCACTGCTCCATATTTCAGAATAATTATGTCACTGCAGCATCCAAACAAATTCGGATTGAATAGTCACTATAGGGATAATAGATTACATACTTACTCAATATTCATTCTTGAGACCATATCCAAAGTTGTGAAACCTGCTGCCATGAAGTTATTTTTATACTGACCCATTTTTATGGAGTCCAGCCAGTCACTGACTGACACAAACAAAGGATATTCGGGAACTTCACCAGGTGAATCTGGCATTCTGTAAAAAACAAACCCCAAAGGTTACCAAAGCAGTGCAAAATATACACCCAATTTGCTCTGGTAGACATTGTTTTTACTGAAAGGCAGAAGGAATGAGACAGGAGTCTGAGCTGTAAAGGTCAGATATGAACTGAGGATTTCTTTAACCTGTTGTCTAAAACTTATAAATCATCTCAGTCTGCCAAGTTGAACAACTTAAACAGAACATTTTGTTAAAGAACTGCAGCTTGGTAACAAACCGAGGAAAAGGCCTCTCCCACTGCTCTTATTTTTGTTCCCACAGAATGTTTCTTTACACATCACCGTGTTCAGGATTACAGTGATTTGTTAATGCAGTAGTCAAAGTAGAGGACAAAGAGAATTTAACATGAGGAGCAGTTTAAAGCATTAGAACGCCATGATTTTTACATTTATCTACAGCCCCTCCCCAAATGGCTCCTTATTGTGATACCATTATGTTACAGGAACACTTTGATTACAGCATTCAAAAGCTAAAACTCACTCTAAAAGCAGCAAAAAGAACAAAATGTTGTATCTTTGCTTTTACATAGAATTATATAAAGTAGCAAGTAAAAATGAAGGAGCTAATTTAGTCACATTTCTGTCGGAGTTCTTTCCCCTAATATTATCCACATATCTGGGATATGTTTATCTGCAATAAACAGAAACAGAAAGATGGAGGGGGAAATAAACATTCCAGTTTTGGGGCATTTCTTCCTATTCTTCTGTTGTGTACCACACTTGGGAAGGCTCCCAACTTCCACTGACCTCATACATTCTGTGCAGAGAAGCTGTCTGAGCAGAATGCAGAAAACAGGCACACTGCTGTTTATCAAAGCTTTATGTTAGCCTTCAGGAGAAAGAGAGCACTTATTTAAAATGAACTATTAGTCAGTGAAAGCCAGCCAACATTAACTGAGGGAAGAGGACTTATGTGTAATGTAGGAAGCAACACAGCCTAATGTCTTAACATCCCAAGTTTCACTCACACATATTCAAACACGTTAAGTACACTGATTTTCATTTGTACTATCAAAATGATAGCAAAAACCTGCAGTTAAAGACCTACCAAGATCCCTTCCAATCTGAATTACTCTATGACTGTGTAATTCTGCATTATCCGTAACACAACAATCATGCAGACTGACTGCATCAAGCATTCTCAAATTACTGGAAAAACCCTTGAATTCCCAAGCAGGTGAACTCAGTAATAGTTCAATAAGGCATAAGTTTTTTAGATCTTGAGTAATGTTGTAAAATAAAAAGAGATAAAAATACATCACTCTGATGCTAAATAAAGTGACCCAGGTGGAGGCAGCAAGTCATACATACATATGTATATATATATATACACACACAGAGGCCACTAACTCTGGTGGATGGACATTAAATCCAACAAGTCCCCATCCAAAATTTGTTGTGGAATGGCAATAGCACAATTTCTGATTTGGTCACTGCTGCCATTCTTCTGCAGGTAAATAAAGATTTAGCAAGCTGAGACACAACTCCTTTCTGCAGGATATTACTCCGAGGCAGTTCAGAAATTGCTTGAGCACCGTTAGATGGAGGGACAGGCTGTTGAATGGAGAAACAAATTACAGAGGAAACAAGCACATGGGAGAAACACACACACACAGAGGAACAAGGAGATTCACGAAGATTAAGGATAGAGACAGTGCACAAACAGAGATAAGAAGCCCCCAAACCTAATATAATCTGCATGACTTGAGAAAAAACTCCCTATACAGTGTATTAACAATAATGCAAACATTAAAAGGCACCTAAAGTTATAACTTTGTGAATCCAGGGCTTTCTCCCACCTAAAACACACAATGACAGCCACTTGTGGTATATATCTAAAAAAAAAAAGGCCCCAAGAAGAGTCTTACACAAGTACATCCTCCACGAGGGTGTGAAGGGTGCTTGGGTTGCGGATCAGTTTGTCCAGGAAGCTGACGATGTCGCTGAATTTGGGCCGGTGGCTCCTCTCCTTTTGCCAGCAGTGGAGCATCAGCTGGTGAAGGGAAGCTGGGCAGCCCATGGGAGCTGGAAGCCTGTAGCCTTCTTCAATTGACAGGATAACCTGAGGAAACACAGAGCGTGTGATTACTGGGTGTTAAACACTGAACGGACAGGGGGAGGCTGACAATTAGAAACTAGTGATGATGGATAATTAATGGCAAAGCCACCTTCACTCTGTGCATTGCTGGGGCCTCCCTCAGGGAATCAGGACTGGCAGGAACCTGACCAGAGTAGACACAAAATATTTTGTAGGTGTATGAAACACAGTAGGCACTTTTTCAGGTTCTCTGGACATCCTCTTCAAACAGCTAAAAAAGGAGGAGGGGAATAAAGAACCAAATTATACAGTTTTCATCCACTTCAGGTTGACTTGGTACTGAAGGGAGTCACAGGGCCACAGATTAACCCGGTGTGGCCACTGCTACACCCTGCTCTGAGATTTGCATTCTGACGAAGTTCTGGTGGGTGGCAATGACACGTTACAACCAAGCACTAAAACACCTGACAAATTTACTGGCTGATAACACGTTTCTGCTGACCCCTAAAGCCTGTTTAATTCAGGCAATGCCCTGCACACCAAGCTACAGCAACATTATTTTGCACAGCCTCCCTCAGAAACCTGAATTGTCCAAGGTGTTTATGACAAAACAAAAGTTACTCAAATTATGGTATTACTGCGTACCTTAAAGTATTCAGATTCAGCAGAGGTACAAAACACGCTTGGTCAGGATTTGGAAAGAAACAGGTCTAATGTCACAGACAAATCACATGTATGAAAAACTGCCATTGATCAGAGTTGAAGGAAGGCTCGTTTTTAGTAACACTAAACACTAAAGTAGCAAAAGCATTGTCTGAGAAGAAGAGTAGCAGCCCTGCCTGACAGGAAGTAGCAAAAGCAGGTAAGGTCCATGGAAAAACTCATGGATTCATAAAAGCTTACATGGATTCATTCCATGTAAGATTTAAAACCCAAGAGGAAAGGTCCCTGGATTCTGCAATGAGTGCTGGTAGCAGTGGGAATGATGATACAGCTTACATAGTCAGGATTTTTTGTATAAAAAAGTATGGAAAGGTACTAAGGGGCTGACCAAAAACAGAGCTAGGAATAGGACCAATTCATAACCCTTCCACATAAAAATCCAAGCCATGTCTAATGCACAAATGATTGTACAAAATATTTCTACTAAGGCACTGCACTTAGGAGAAACAGACCTCCTGCATTTACACCCACTGTGCTGTAAGGAGGCTTCCTTCATCTGCACACAGGTGTGTGTACACGCAGACGTATCATGCAGCTGGAAGGGGGGACATTCAACTGTTTACAGCAAGTCAATGTTTTACAGCACTGGCTCTGGCTTCAATACGTTCACTCTTATTTTCCTGGAATGTATCCTGGTTCTCTGTTTGAATTCTGAGTGGATGCTGCTGGCTCTGCTCAGCAATGCCAGTGCCTATGCTGCAAGCATCATGCCAGTCAAACGAGAGGGCTGAGGCTGTGTTAGGACCTTAGCTCCCCTCCACAGCCTGGCAGAAGGTGGAACGAGGCTTCTGTGGCTGTGCACAGCTGCTTGGGTGGCTCTGACAGCGTCAGGTGACGTGCTCCTGTGTGGTGTTTAGCCCTCCTGTATCCCGGGTAAACACCTGGGCATGAAAAACAAGTGTTTGCCCCGTGGAGTTGCACAGGGTGAGTTTTAGACCCACTGGCAACAGCACTGGGAAGTCGAGGCTCCTCCCAAGGCTATTCCTTGGTGAAGGCATCTCTGGATTTGCCTCCCCCGTGAGTGCTGACGGGTCACACACACGCAGGCTGGACTGGCCCTGCACCCTCATAAAACACAGGCACTGGTGACAGTGAGGGACACAGCTGAGCTGACACTTGGCACTAAGGCAGTAATCTTTAGCAGCCCAGGAATGCAGATATCACAGCCTTTACATTTAACTGTGCCTGTTGCAGAGGATGAGTTTATGAAATGCATTTTGGTGTTAAGGCAACAGGAAACCTGCTCTGCTTTTATGAGACATAGAGCATTTACTCAAAACAATAATAGAGGCCTGACGAGGCTTTTTTCTGAAATAACTTATTCAGGAAAAACCCCAAACCAACCATAATTTTCCAGGCATATTTTCTCTGACACACTCTATTATAACATGTCTTTGAAAATGAAGTTACAGTGCATTTTGTTTCCTCTCTTGTTCCAAAGGAACATTGCAGTATGAAGAGAAATGCCAGCTGGTTCTGGGATAATTATAATTTCTCATTAATACCAGCAGATTTAAAAAATAAACTGCCAATATTGCCTCATTAGTATCTCTTGTGAGGCAAGTATTATTTTTAGAGTCTAAGAAGCCAGAGTAAAGATGTGATAACTGTCTAATACTGCAATGGGAATCAAGTCTCAAAGGAAGAATTAGAGTTGTTTAGTTCCTTATTTATGTTTTTATATATTTATTTTAGCTCCTGCTCCCCACCTACCTTTCTGAACAGAAGAATTAGATATCCATGTCCCTAAAGGGGAAGAAATACTAAATTTTTCTTGGTTATATAAAATTATATGTTATATAACATCTAAAGATAATACATATTAACTCACTTGAAGTGCCTTTTTTCCTTGCCAGCTAAGGTTGATGAAACACCACATTAATCACGAGATGGCCTAAAAACCTGCCCCCACAAGGACACAGATTCAGCTTTAGCCATGGCTGTGACTCTCTCCAAACGGCAAAGCAGAGCTCCATCCACTCCAACAGCAGAGAACAGGAACAGCAGCACAGTTTGAGTCAGCCTGACAGCAAAAGGGCTGATCTCTGCTCTCTGCTTCTGGGGCAAACACTTGGTGGGTATCACAGGCTGGAACAGAAACTATTAAGGAAAGGGAATATTTGTTTATGGTTAACAGATCTCATTATTTCTATGCTTTTTCATGCTTAGGCTTTTGTTTCTATAAAGAGGACCATTTTTATATGTTTTTGTTTACAGATGATATTAAACACTGGAGCCTGTTCAGTACATCCTATCATTTCTGTTTGATGTTAGGCATTGCTGTAAAGCTTGGCCACAGAGTTAATATTTAATGTTCATTATGATTGTCCGAACAATATAAAAATACCATATAAACCAAAACAGCCTGAACAAGGTTTTATGGACTTCTACATAAAATTTACAGGTGGTTAATTTCAAAATAATGGGAAATTGGCAAAAATGACACCTGAAAATAAAGCTGTCATCTCCCTGATAGTTTCATTATTAACAGTAACATAGATTCTTGCTTTCAAAAGTTAACTGGCAGATTTTTTAATGAGACTGAGATGGAAGAGAGTCCGCAGGGACATTGTCCCTGTGTCCTGTGACATCTGAAAAATCTACCAGGAGGGAGAGGCAGCTGCTCCTGCCTCCTGGCACAGACCCAATGCCAGGCACCTGCCAAGTGTTTTGATATCTGTAAACTGAAAGAAATATATTATGGTAAGGGTGTTTTTATTACTATTATGAGAAACTTTCAGGAGTGTAAGGAGTTTTATTCTGTTTGCTACAGTAGTTTTCTTGCATACCAATTATAATCCATTAAATATTCTTTTTTTCTTCTTTTCTTTCTGAATACTGTAGTTCTGCAACATGCACTGATTTATGGAGTGGCTCTAACAGGTGTCCCAGGAGACCTCCCTCACAGCTGTTCTCCAACCCAAATGCACGGAATATAAATCTTCCTTCCCTCACATGAGCATTAGCAAGCCAGGCTCTTAGCACAATCTGTTCATCAGCACACTGGCTTCATTGGAAAGTTCAATATCTTGGCTAATGTTTATTAATTAAGCAATAAGACACGACAGACTGTGCAGCAGCCCTAATTAATGGACACCTCTGGTGCCTGCCACACATCTAAGAAGTGCATTAATCAGCACCAACACAGGTTGGAAGTGACTTACCACAGTAATAAAATGGTTATTTACTTAAACAAGAACATTTCTCAAGCTTAGTAAGATTCCTAAGCCTCTGCATTACGCCATGTGAGGTATTAAAATTTTATGAGCGGCATTTTCCAGCTCAGTTTCCTTGAGTTCAGCTGCCAAATCCTTGCTGAGGAATTCAGATGGAGAACTCTGGATTTGCAAGGGTGTGGGGTCACTCTCGCTCACGTGGAGCCGATGGACACCTGTGAGCAGCTGCAGTCCCAGAGCATCCCACAGGGTCTGTTTGGGTGGCAGGTACCAGTTTAACACTCCTCATGTCAGCCTGAGCTCTGGGCTACCCCTGCTGGCTCCCCCTGCTTTGATTGCTGCCACTGAAGGCTCAGCCGCTTGTCAGATGGAATGTCAAAGAAATCCCCCCAAAACCCAGACCCAGCTCTGCAGTGTTTGTACGTGGAAAACTTGTGTTAATTTACAAACCCCCACCCAATTCAGTTAATATTTTATTGCTGTCTAAGTTAGAATTTCATTATGATCAAATCTCAGTAAGTGTTGTAAAGCTGATGTTACCAGACATTTGGTGGCAGCAGAACTAGACTCATGCAAGACCTTATTAACTGCTGTTTGCATACTGTGCCTTTTATGAGTCCATTCAGTGCTTCCCCTCTCTGCTACTTTCCCTGCCATCTGTACAGTATCACTGACCTTTGAAAGTCCTATTATTTCTGCAAAACAAGCTCATGTGAATTCAGGACAATTTATTGTGCTGAAAGAAGTGTCCCAGGATCCAGCAAAATAAGCCTTACAGTATGCCTAATAACCCGAAATTTCCCAAGGACACTTGAAGTCCCTAGATGTGTGTAGAAGGTCACAGGTGCCCACTGTCAACATTGTGGCACTAAAAGCCTGTGGGTAGGGCTCTGGAGGAAAGGAAAGGAGTGCTTTGTGCTGGGAATTGCTGAGCTGCAGGGAAAGCCCCCAGGAGCTGGCATCGTTAGCACAAGCTGCATCCACAGGGCCCACAGCATTATTCTCTATTAGCAGATACTTCTATTCGGGATGTAGGAGTAATTAAATGTTGCTATCTTCACACTGGAGCTGATTATTTAATATATTCGAAATTGAGAGTTTACTTTCTGAACTCTCCCTGCTGGCACGGCCTTGAACACATCCCAGGGTTTGCCAGAGGGGAGGAAGACAGGCTGGAGCCAGGTGCTGAGGAAGGGAGGGCAGCTGCAAGTGTCTCTGCCCTGGAGACACCTGCTCACAGCTGGCCCTGAGCAAACTGCTCTGGCTGAGCCTGCCTGAGCAGAGGGGCTGGACAAGCCATCTCCAAGGACCCTCAACCTCAGCCATTGTGTGATTTGCTGGTTCCTTCTCCCAGGTTCTTGTTCTGCTCAATCTTCCATTAAAAGAAGGCTCCCAGGGAAGCTACCCATTGCATCTCTTAGTTTGGGAAGGCAGGAATTGTGAGGCTGTGTGTGCATTTTGACACAAAGTGCACTCTCTGCAGTGCAGAGGGATCAGGTTTTGCAGTGGCACACGAACGATGCCCAGGCTGCTACTGCCATGGCTTTGTTCAGCTTTGCTTCTGATGGAAGATTGCCTCAGGAACAGCACCCTCTGCTATTGCGTGGCTGCTAGGTTTTTCTGTTTGGGATGGGTTTGGTTGTGGGTTTATTCTTTTGTTCCTGGAACACTCTGACTTTATTTTTTTTAAATGAAAATCTCTCTCAGATCCTTATCCCCAAATGACTGATCAGCCTTAACAAGCAACCAGACTTGCAGAGCTGAATAACTTAGCAAGAATATAAAAACAGCCATCTGGGAAAAGTCTTGTCAGTTCTTCAGAACCAATGCAGAGGTATTCCAGGCACATATGTAGGAGAGGTTAAGGTGGGTTGGCTGATATTCCTCATTTTGACACACAGATTGATGGCTGGTGTGAAAACTGAGCATACCAGTTTGAGCTGTCGTGGGAATCCATCAAAAAAGAGAATCTTGAAAATTTAAACTGTGGTAGAGAAACTCCCCCACCATTTCCCCTTTCTTGTGCTTTTTTTTTTTTTAATTGTGAAGGCTTATTTGGCCACAACTTTTGGAAAAAAAAGTCAGAGGAAAACATACCTTGGTTATAAAGTAGGACTGTTGTCCTGCATTGTGGTTAAGCCTATACGTAGATTTTGAGGTGAAAATAATGTGTTGAATTCTTTGACAAGAGAATTGGCAAATACATTTCTCATGGCAGCTTAATTCTTTTAGAATTTAGCCATGTATGCCCATTAAAGGATATTGTCAGACTGTACTGGTCACCACGGGCCATCATCATCAGAACAGTTCCAGTATTCCCCTGAGTTTTGATCTACAGCTTACCTGAGAACTGCATCAACCCACCTATGCGGTGCAGATTCCCAGGGATTTGGCTGAAAGCCACGCATAACCAGCAGCAGAGCCTGGCAGGCTGGCTCTGACTCTTTGTAATCTGTCTTTAATCAGTAGCAGGAAGCTAGTCAAGGTTTTAGTTAGAGAGGGCCAGATCTTCAGGCTGCATAAATGAACTGTGCCATTGAAGCTGACGGGACGAGGGTGGTTTAAACGAGCTGAGATTCACCCCAGAAAGCGAACGAGACGGCAAAGCAGCGCAGGGAGAGACAGTGACTTTCCAGGAACGTTTCAACACGTGCAGCTTGACCGTGGGCATTACTTACATCCTGGTTGGACATCTCCCAGTAGGGCCTCTCCCCGTAGGACATCACCTCCCACATGACGATGCCGTAGCTCCAGGCGTCGCTGGCCGACGAGAACTTGCGGTAAGCTATGGCCTCGGGAGCTGTCCACCTGATGGGGATCTTGCCACCCTGGGAAAGGGGGGAAAACCTGTCAGTGTGAACACAACAGGGAACAGCACAGGCTTAAAAGAAAAGGAAAAAAATACCCTGCATGCTGAGACTCTACACTGACTGCTGCCAATTTGCCTCGTCAATTTGCTGCAAGTGGAAAGGAAGAAATAAACCTTTTCCAGAACATGATACAAATTTAGTTTTGTTTGTTGTCTTATTCACCCAAACCAGCATTTTGTGAAAAAACCCAAACCTCAGTTCAAAGAATAGAAAGCATTTGAGATAATTCATGTTTGTTCAGTCATATAATTAGCCAGAACTCACTCTTGGATTGAAAATATCCCAAGCCTGAAATTCCTAGTTCATTGACATTTAAAATTTTACCTTAAATGAAACAGAAATGTTTACTGCAAAATGGAACACAGAAAGCTCCTAATGATATTATGTAATCAGAAAGGAAACTACAGGCTTTCTATTCAGCTTTATATTTGATAATGTCTCCTAAGTCTTGTTGTGCCCTTTAAATATCCAGCTAAACAGCAAACCAAGTGTGTTGAAAGCTCTTAATGATATTATGTAATCAGAAAGGAAACTACAGGCTTTCTATTAAGCTCTACATTTGATATTTTCTAATTCTTGTTGTGCCCTTTAAATATCCAGCTAAATAGCAGCCAACTGTGTTTCTAATAGGCACTCCCTTAGAATATTCAGTGGTTTCATTCTGCAGCTTTCAACTTAAAATCCAAGTGCTAGCTCAAAAAAAAAAAAAAAAAAGAAAAAAAAAAGAAAAGAAAAAAGAAAACCAAACTGGAAATCACTCAGCTTTTCTCTGACATTAGTTCTTTAGACCATTGAATCTCTTCTATTCTCCCATAATAGTTTATGTATGAAAACTACATTGCCATTTCAGAGAAAGGTATTTCCCCTCCAGAAACGATGCCCTTTTCAAAGATATACGTTTATTATCATTCTCACTGAACTCTTTAAAACAAGTAGAGTGAGAGCAGTTTGCTGAAGGTACCACTAGATGGTAGAAGGAGGCAGTCAGAGCTGGGCTCACTCACAGCAGTTGCTTTCAACAAGCAGTACCAGATTCTGCTCAGCATTATAATTGTATTTCTACAGAAACAAAAGAAGAAATGAACTAGAACATCCGTCTGGCAATTGAAGAGAAGCCACAGTTAAAACCAAGTATGTAAATCTTTGTTAATTCGCTTTGAATATATAAAAAATTGTCCTTAAATTGTTAAGGCCCCACTGCGGCTGATTGAGAAGCTGTTTGTTGTACCAGTAAACTGTTCAAAGGCCAAGCTCTGTGTCTGTGGTGGTGTGTCACTGAGCCAGCTGCTCCTCTGTGACTCTCACTTGCTGACAAAAAATGCACGGTTAACATTTATGTTGTATCACAGCACCAAGATGTCCTTTGTACCATGTGACATTTTTTGCAGCTGCTTTTTTAAAGCCTCTGCTTCCTCACTTGTGCTAAACTGACTTTAGCAGTAGGGATGTAAATGTCATTCTTTTTTTTTTTTTTTGCCCAACTACCTCCATACCCACCTTTTCCTAATCCTTTAAGCTGGTGGTCAGATCACTCCTCTGGCATGTCAGAGATGCAAAAGGCTTTCTGCCCTACCTGCTGCCCCCTCTGAGCCTGTCCTCACCAGGGTGTGGTGCTCCTTGTCCCTTCCTGGGACAGCTGCTCCCCTTGGGAAGCAAGTACAAATGCTTTCTGGGTACCAGCATGGAGAAGCAGAGTGACAGAGGAGAGAAGACAACACAGAAGACATTCCTCAAGGCAAGACCAGGCTAACTTCTTGTTTCTTCCCCAGGAAATACTTATATCTTCTAAAGAAGCTGGGTGAGAGCACTGGGTTTTTGATCTCATGGGCTGGTTGCAGTGGTGTTTTGGTTGGATGGGTGAGTTCAAGCTTCCAGAGGTGATGGAAAAATGAGCTATTCAGTGCCCCAAATGCACACCTTCCCCAGGGATGTCCAGCCCAAAGGATGAGTCCTCTGACAAACAGGCAGTTTGGGGTCTGACTGCAGAGCATAGTTCAGAGCATCTCCTCACAACACACACCTAGGGGTCTTATTCTTCTGACTGGGTTGGGTTTAGCCCTTTATTTCTAACTCATATCATTCCTTCATTTCGAACTCATATAATTCTATCCTCAGTTTCCTGGCTGCTGCAGGTTTTCGGGGACATGATTTTCCTGGCCAGCCACATGGTCATGGTAGGAATTTTAACTCCTTCTTTGGACCTGGATACAGGCAGTTTTAGAAGTTCAACAAAAATCATGGGGATCCACATCACAAAAGACACTGCCCTGACAATCCTAAACACCCTCCCTCATCAGCAGCACTTGTTCCAGCACAGGAGCTCATCATCTGAACCTTGTCTTACCAAGCAATCCCCCTCGATGCCTTTTGCTTTGTCCCCATTCCAGACACTTCCTGCAGGGTAGCACCAGTATTTGAGGGAGGATGCAGAAGAAAAAATTTCCATCCTTTCTTTCCTTACCTCAGATCTTCTCAAATCTCAGAAGATGACAGGTTAAAAAAAAAGTCCACCAGCTTAGATAGTTAAGCTACCGTTAGACTTTGTTTATCAAGACAAACTAAGAAATCAACAACATTTCTACGTGCCAGATTCCTAATCTGGAGAGTTTTATTAAGAACTCATTTTTTTAATTTTCATGAAAATTCTTATGTTAATAATTAAATACCTGCTTGTAGGGAAAACAAAAATCTATAAATGTGAATAAGAGGCATTTGGATATTTATAGATTTTGCTTTTAATGTTTATAACATACTATGAATAACAGAAGATGAAAACTGTCTTTAAACTGTATCCTTTTCATAAATCTGATTTTGTATTCCCAAATTATACTCAAAAGAGAGGGCACATCTTGAGCAGCACTTGAAGCTAGCTTTGTGACTGCTGGCTAAATATAAATGAGTTTTCAAGAATCTGATCAGACTCTACAACCAGTTTCATGATGCAGCTTTACTGACTGATCCCTTTTGGACTGAAACAGTAGTGGCTCATTGAGTGTGAAAATGAGACTGGAGAACAGAATCTTAACAAAATTCCAGGCAGTTCACATTCAAGGGCACAAGATGTGTTCAGAGTTGTAATGTCAAATAAAATCCTTTTGTGCTGGCTCGAATGACAAAGTGAAGCAAAACCTCGAAGATTTTTCCAATGGATTCATCTTGTGTATGAAGATGTTATGCTCATAAAATGTAGATTTCGGTACTTAATTATGTTTGCAGAATACCTTTTCATGCAAAAAGGTTGGTTTATTTATTGGAAAGCCATTCCAGAGGCAGAGATTGCAACGTGACTACCTTAAGAGATGTATATGATTGAACAGCAGTAATAGCTGCTCATGCATAATAAAAGAACACATAAGGTTTAGAGTAGCTGAAAATATATTCCCTGTTTCTGATTGGAGTAATAAACAGTGTTACTGTTGTTGGATATGCCTTTTTACATTTTGATCTAACTGGGAAAATAATAAATGCAATGATGTTTACACAACGCCTCGCCTTCAAATTAGGATAATTTATAAATCATCTACATTGTACTGCTACAGCAATGAAATCTGTCACAGCTGCCCATATTGGAAAGCCCTTATGCAAGTCCATTTTGCTTTTAGTTTATTCTCTGTCTTTTTGGGGGTGGGGAGGAGGGGCAGAAGGGCTGTTAGGAACCAAATTGTTTTTCTGCCTCTTCTCATACATTAATAATGGTATCAGTGACAACCTAATTTTGTTTCCACACAGTGAAATAACACCAACTCTGCTATTCCAATAATTAGAATTTAGCCTTTTTTTGCCCTCTATGCTGCCAGCTGAACAGTGTCTATCTCCTGATTTTTTTCTCAATCATAATTTAATAAGCAATTTTCCCGTGCAGTCCAAGCGTCCCCCTGGAATCAGAACATTAGGCTCACGTTGCTTAGCTTGGAGAACTGCTCAGAGATCAGCCCTTGCAATGAAATTTGCCCCCTCACCCACACCTACACACGCTCACTTTCTCTCCAGAACTGGCAACAGCACAGTTTGGCACACATTTAAAGGCAAAACTGGAAGTACATGTTGCAAAACACCTCATTCTTTGCCTCAAGCTATGCAGGAAGGAATGGCAGCCTCCACAAAACGCCACCCCTTCTCTGAGCTGGCAACACCAACAAGTGCTTGTCATCTGTTCTGTGCAAAAACTACAGGCAGACAACTGACACCGAGTCCCACGGGCCACTGCTGCATTTTTGTCACCTCCCACTTGATCTTTTTTCCTATTTTACATGTCAGACATCTTTTCGAAAACAGGAGGTATTAACAGTTCCTTTAATAAAAAATCTGAACATATTTCAAAGCTGCAGCAGAAGGGTGTGCCTGGCAGCTGTGGCCCATTATCCTACCCAGCAAAGGTTGGGATACATCACCAAACTTCAAATGCCTGACGGGAAGAGTGACAGAGAGGGCACAGAAGCAAAGAAAGAAGCCTGCTAGATGGCCAGCTAATTAAAGTGAGCAGTGATCCCCTGAGAACCTTACAAGGCTGAAGGTGAGGTGTGTGAGCTGCTGCTCGATGTACACATAAGCAATCAGAAGCAGAGGGAGTGCACGAGGCTCAGCATGTCCCAAACCAGCAGCAGTGTGAAATAAACGCCTGTTCCTGTTGAAAAGCCCGTGCTGTATTTTCCTGGAGTGACAGGCACTGCAGAGTGACTGTCACAGAGCTGGCAGCAGGTCTCCTAAATGCTGAGGAGCAAAGCCATCAGTTCCAGATGCCCAGACATCTCCAACTGTCTGATTGTGGAGGAAAGGTACTGAACTATGTCAGTGCACCATTAGTCTGATGTGGCACAGCCATTCCTGTGCATCTGTCAGCTCCTGTCCCTTTATGTGTGGTGTTACTGAGTCATGCCATCAGTTTCCATGACACAAGGACAGTATCTGTCTTTTCCTCTACCCCAAAATGACAGAAACATGGGAGCGGGAAAAAAGAC